CATTTTCTGAAGTAACTTGAGTTTCATCGTGAATTTTTCACACGCATTTACGGGGAATTATCAGATCCCCCATGTTGTGAAGTTGGGATGCTGACATGGGAACCTTGCGGTGCTAGAAACAGAACATAGGTTAGCTTCAGGAGCTTGGCGCATGTGATCAAGACTGGAGGAATGCCACTTTTACCTACTTATGTAAAATCTGACTTGTGGAAACAAAGTCCCACGTGAAATGAAATGCTGGTTTTCCTCATGGACAACTTTTCTGAGAGGAAGCACAGATCCATATTTTCATGGAACAAAATTATGAAAGACCATGAATTGCCACATTCAGAGCCAGCTAGGAATGTGCATTAATCAGTGTCCGTAGCAATCATACATTTTGACCCGTTAACTGGACTCAGGGAGAGCACATGAGTCATTTGTACCAGGACAAGACTCCTGCAGGATGCATACTGCAAGCCTATTGAGCAACCAGTCCGATCATATCTGAGTCCTGCTCACAGCCGTCGTGGTCTGAGGCCTTTGGGATAGAGAGATAGATTTAGAAATACTTCAGGAATGCCAGCAATTCTGTTTTTGCTGTGATTTGTGTTCACTGTAGAGGCAGAGGATGTATGCCTGCCTCACTTAATTTTGTCTGATCTTTTTGGTGTCACTTTTTCTTTTTTTTATAGATTTTATTGGGGAGTTGGGGGAGAGGAACAGTGTTGGGGAATTGTGGAAGGGGAACAGACAAGTTGCTGTCCTTTTATTCAGTCTAGTTGTGGAGGACATCGCTTCACTGGCCCATGTTGGTATTATCATTGTGCTCTTCCCGCCTGAGGCAGATCGGTCGCCGGCCACTGGACGGCTGCTCATGGCAGCGCTTGACAGCTCGTGCCGGCTGTGGGCCGCTCATGCTGGCTGCCAGCCACTCATGGTAGCTTACGGCAGCCCACTGCAGCCTACGCCATCACCAGTGACTTACAGCAGCCCAGCTCCAGGTCGAGCTGTTGTTCACCATCTTAGCTGTAGAGGGCGCAGCGTCACTGGCCCTCATGTGGGAGCCGAACCAGGGCCCTGCTGCTCCGAGCTGGCGTCCCAAGCCAACTCTTAACCAACAAGCCACTTGGCCGGCCCCTTAAGTGTCACTTTTTTATGTTCATGTTGCTTTTCTCTCCTGATAGCTTTCATTTACATCTCACAGCAACCCCCTCCCATCCTTCTTTTTTTTCTTCTTTTTATTGTGGTAAAATACATATAACATAAAATTCACTATTTAAACTATTTTAAGTGTACAGTTCAGTGGCATTAAATGCATTCATGTTTTTGTGTGGCCATCATCACCATCTATCTCCAGGTAGTTTCCCCATTGTACAGTGAAACTCTGTACCCGTTAAGTGATAACTATCCATGCCTCCCACCCCCAGAGCCTGACAAGCGCCATTCTACATGTGTCTCTACGAATTTAACTGCTCCAGATACCTTGTATAATTGCAGTCATACAATATTGGTCTGTTTGTGCCTAGCTTATTTCACTTAGCATTATGTCTTCAAGATTTATCCAGCTGTAGCATGTATCAGAATTTCATTCCTTTTTTAAGGCTGAATAATGTTTTACTGAATACATACCGCATGTGTTGATCCATGTATCCATCAGTGAACATCTGGGTTATTTCCACTTCTTGGCTATTATGAATAATGCTGCTATGAAGTTGGTACATAAATATCTGCTCCCCCAATTCTTTTTAAATAAAAATTTGAAGCTGCCTTTAAGGGGTAGGGGAACTAAGTTTAGAACTGAGAGAAACAAGAGGATCTTGAAATAAGATGAAACCTCTTGGAAGTAATGCCTCTTTCCTCTTCTTGCCTGAAAATGACTTGCCCCCTATGGGATTTGACAAAGATTAAAGATCAATAATTCATTAAAAGTGGCTCTTTTTGCATTCTTTCTTTGCCTTTCCTTTTTTTTTTTCTATAATTCTAGGACCCCAAAGCTAGCTTTAAGCTACTAAAACCCTCTCCCTCGTAGAAGACCTTAACCTTACACTGGGGATTAGGTTGGAGAATCAGTAGACATTTAACTCTTGAAACACCTGCAGATCCTCAGTAAACAATGGCAGAAGTGTTTTGTTGTTTTATTGTTAATCATAACCTTTCTATAGCTCTATATGTGGCTGGAAAAGAGTAGGGGGTATTGCCAATTAGAGGACCATTAATGGGATAATTCAGCTTTATGGTTTATTATTTACATAAATATATTAAACTTTATGGCTGGTTTGAGGCATAAATGTAAAATCATTTATGCACACACAGTTTTAATGACCAAGGGAATAAATGCTAGTAAATCTCAGTGTTTACTTTTAAGAATGGGTCATCATAGGTATAGTTTCACCTTTGAGAGATTTTGCTTGTTTGTTGAGATAGACTTTCTAGATACAGGTGTGCCAAATCATCTTTTTATCTTTAGCGTAAAAGAGCAACAACAGTCATCCTTTTTTTAAGAAACTCAGTTATTTCAGGTAATAACCTTTTAACCAGTTAATTTTAGATATGAAACAATATTCCAGCTCTGCCTAAATATATCGCATTTATAGATACAAAATCCCCCCCATTAAAAACAATGAGTTGCGAATTACTTCATCTGTAGGTATTTCATCTCCTCTATCTGTACAATGGGATTGTGAAGTGGCCCATGAAGTTGTCAGGAAGGACAAACAGATTACTCTGGGGCATGTTTTGATCTTACTGGGACATTTGGGACTGAATTAGGTGGATATGTTGATAACTATTGAGTTCTGGTGGCCTGAGTAAATTTATGTGCCTTTTTAATAACTTTTTTTTTTTTTAAGCCTCTTACTCCCTCTTCAGAAAAAAATCCACATCATTGTCTGGAAAGTATATTAAACAAAGTACTTAAACTCAACAGATGTGTCCCTAACCTACCTTGCTCCTAGTGTTTTGTTTTGTTTTTCTCCATTTTGAAATACTTTACAGATTAAAAGGCAGAATATAAATGTGTATATTTCACGATTACTGAAATCACAGTATTATAAATTATAGGTTTATCTTGAAAATCTTAAAGTGTTATAGGAACGTTAATTGGATGATCATGTTTTACTTCATACATTCTGGTTAGAGTTTCTGAAATCTATTTTCTAAAAGATGACAGTGATAGTTTCGACTGTGGCATACTCAAAGATGGGAATGAAAGTGATTTTTCCCAAGAGTCCTGGTCAAGTATTTGTTGTTTTGCAAACTCATCAGTGGTTAAAGAAGAATATTCCTAATGCCTTTTCATCCGTGCAGAGAGCAAAATAAAATGCCTAGGCAACCTGGTGGTGTGATAAGTCGAAAGCAGCTGGGATCAGCACTGGACATTCCAGGAACTTGAGCTTGGCATGATTAATTACAGCAGTGGTTCTCAACCTTGGCTGCATACGAGAATCTCGGGCATCAGCATTTAAAAAAAAATCTCCCCAAGTGATTCCAAGGCAAGGTTGAGAAACCACTGGTTTAGAGGATTTGGAATGGGGAACTGAGTGAGGAGAGTATTATGACTGTCCAAGTTACAAATAATAAAGATTTCAACTAGGAAATTTCAATGAGATATTTAGTGAGTGGAAACAACAGGACTTAAGTTCCACACATGGGAGGAAAATAAAGCAAAGATACCATCTCCATAGGAGTGATCCTAACCTTGAGACGCGATGAAGTTCCCTAGAAGAGACCTAAGTAGAGATCCTTGAGGGATAACCACGTTTGTGGGCGGGAGAAAGTCCAAACACCTGAGAAGTGGGAGGACCATCCACTGGCTGTAGTGTCAAAAGCTGAGGCCTGAGATTTTTCAAGTAGGATAGATGAATATCTCGAGCTATTAAGAACAAATGAAATAATAGGAAATTAGAGTAAGCGTTTAAAATGTGTTTGAAATAGTTTTCTCAAATATGTGCTCTTTGGATGGCTTCAGAGTTGTACTCGGTGAAGGTACTTTGAAATCCAAGAAAGACAACCAGACTTATGAAACATAAAATAGGTTCTAGTCCCAGCTCCACCCTTCTAGCCAGCTGACCTTGAGTAAGCCACTCAACAGTTCTCACTTTCCTAATCCATTAAATGGGGATGACAGTGCATGCCCTGCCTACTCCACAGCATTGGTATCCACAAATTAGGTAACAGATGTGTAAAGGTGTTGTAAAATACAGACCATTATGCCGATAATGGATTATTAGCAGTAACCTTTTTGCTGCTGTTCACCAGCACTTCGATATTGAGAGGCTTTGGACAATTTGTATTCTAGGAAAGAGGTGAAATAATACTAGGAAGACCCAGGTACCCTTCTCTTCAGGAAGCTCACCATCCTACAGGGAAGGTGGGATTAGGAAATAAATAGCTGTAAACACCAGGATGTGGGTTCTTTGAGAGCAGGAATCGTAATCACTAATGTGCTCCTAATGCCTAACACAGCGCCTGAAACCTAAGTAGGGTCTTCTAAAATATTTTGTTTAAAAAAATTGATGAAATAATATAAGTTAAAAAGCCATATAAATAAACTACTAGGATAGTTTTAGGGAAGGAGAGCTTCAAAACCCAGCACATTGCCAGAATCATAGTAACAGACAAATAAATATATGATGGATTCATGAATAATGGGGTGAAGGGGAATGTCCCGCAAAGCTAGTTTAGTTATGCAGCAAAAAAGGGGGGCAGGGGAGTTGAAACCATATCAGATGCAAAATCTAGAAATAGCAGCAAGCAAAAAATTATTTCTAAAACTAGAAAATTCTAAGTTGCTCAAGGCTAAGACCTTGGAAATCAGAGACAACAGTGATAAGTCCAAGGAGAAGGCCTCAGAAATGGTATTCCACCCAAGTTGGTCACTTATTCAATATGTTGGTTATGATTGCATCTCGCCCAAGCCAAGGTATTACTTATGTTCACATAGGAAATTTGGTACGACAGTGTTCTGATTTACATGTGGCAAGTGAGAGGATCCTGACCATGTCCGCTTCTATCTGCAGGAATAGATAATCTCTATGAGAGGGCGCTTCACATCCGCAAACTCCTGCTGACCTTGCCCAGGTCGGTCCTTATAGTGATGAGGTACCTCTTTGCCTTCCTCAATCAGTAAGTACCCTAATGCTCTGCCCAAATGCCCATCTTAATTCTGTTGAGGCTGTTCTGAATTCTTTCTTTCTTCTTGGATCCTGTAAAATGTACCTTGGGTTCCGTTTATCAGCAGAGTCAAAGAGAAGAAGATTGAATGTAGACCAAAGGTACATTTTTCCTCAGCAGATCAAGGTCATTGTTACAGGTGAAAGATGCAGAAACTGGCTGCAAATGCAAAAAATATCCAAATTTCACTATATAGAACGCTTTTCAGTGAAATATGTTTTTTCCAACTTCTATCCAAAGCTAATGTCATGAACATTTTTGTCAAAATAATGTAAACCACCCTCTAACTGGAAAATTTCTGTGATTTTTAATGTTGTAGTTTGGGATAGAGGGGATTGTGGATAAGACTACACCGATCCAAAAAAGAACTTCTGCAATTTCAATATAATGAGACATTGTCAAGAAAAAGCTATTTCTAAAAAAAAAAGTAACAGAAGTCTTAAAAATACACTGCATTATTTTAAAAAAAACTTCTACACTCCTAATTTAGGCAGCTTGATTTTCGGTTGTGTTACTTCCTGATACATAGGCTCCGTTATAAGAACATCTTCCCCATGTCCTATAGAAGAGTCCCCTTGCTATTCAGTGTTTCAGTTGGAAATAAAGCAATTGGAAATACAGGGGGAGTAAGCTTGGGGAAATAAATACCTTCTCATCCTGGCATGGATTCTCCTGTCCTAAAATGGGGATATTTTCTCTTTATTTCACTGGAGGTTTTAAGTTCTCAAAAGCTATGAGAATTTACTGCAACCCTGCTGACTACTCCTGAAATCATACCCACTCAGGTTGACCCTAGAAACCAAGTATTATAAAACAGGGAAGTTCTGGCAGGAAACCGTACAGAGTGGAGCTAACATATCCACAAATGACAGTAGGAACCCATTTGGACATAAGTCACCACTGGAAATAATATCTAGAGAGATGGGTATAAACTATGTTTAGGTTAAATAGAAACCTGTAAATGTTTACCTTTAAATGAGCCTAATAACCAGAAGGTTGTAAAATCCAAGGCCTGCTACCGTTTTCACCTTTAATTGCATGAGCCTCCTCTCCCCCGCAATGGAGTCCCTTGCGTTCCTGCTGGCTCTCTGCAAGCCATCCCCACCAAATTCTCCTGATACGCCTGAGCAAAACCAACTGAGAACCAATCAACCACAGTGGACTAGGAAAGCAGATTGTGAATCAAGGAAGTTCTCAAAACCTGAATGAAACTCACCACATATGTCAACAGAAGGGCAGATGAGCCCTGAGTCAGACAGCCGGCCCGACTTCCAGCATTTCTGCCCAGAGATGCCCCCTTGCTCCTGTTCCTACCTTCACACAGAGAGAAGGCCCAGCCTCTAGGGTAGGATGCTTGGGACAGGAATTTTGAAAAGAGGATCTCCCTATTCTTTTTTAATTATAAAATCAAAACGCGGATAAAGAACATTTGTGGGTCCAATGTTTGCTCTTCAAGCCAGCGCTGAATGAAAGACCCAGAAAGATTAATTGTGCCTTTACCCCATTGAGCTCAAGTGTGTCTTTTGAAAATGAGATCATTCTTATTCTGAATCTCACTTCTCCTTCCTGCATCTATTTTCAAGATGACCTGTAACGTGATCGTGGCTGTTACTGTGAATTTTTTTTTTTTAAGATTGTATGTTTGAGAAGTAACAGAAAGGAAAGACATATGCTAGCTGTAGAAATTATGCTTTTGTATTTTCTCTTTTCTGGGCTATCTTATTTCCAAAAAAGGGTAAAGTATCATGTCATATGGTTTCTCAGTTTCTTTGTGTCTGTCACCATCTCACAAAGGTAGTCGAGTCTCTTTTTTCTCCTTCCATCTGTCATCTGTTCACCTGGATTTCACATTTCCTTCCCAGGTCGACATTTTATACACTGAAAAGATAACATCTCTAGGTTCTCCCTGAAACAGCACCTTGCTCCTGTGTTAGCAGCACAGCAATAAAAAGCTGGCTTATTGTCAGTCACCTGTGGAAAATACCTCACAAACATCCATTGGACTGAATTTAGAAATAGCACGAGGCACCCGGAAATCTCCCCAAAGTTTGTAGCGTGCCAGCTTTAAATGGAATGAAGGAATTGAGGATTCGTTTCCCCCTTCTCTTCACCTAGTGTTGGTAATCATACCCTAAAGCAAATTATAGAGTCTGGAGTTTGCTTTCTCTCCGTGGTTACAAAGAAAAGGTGCTTTGTTTTCCTCGAGGCTTTCCTCAGGATTTATAGGAGAAACCTGAAGCCTGAGATGGTTTTGAGTAGTGGGAGGACAATTTTAAAGCTACCCATAAAGCTTTATGGAGATTGTTGCTGCCCTCCCCATATTTACTTGAGCAGCATGTAAAGCGTGACCGTAATGTTCACAAATGAAACTCATTTACTTGATTCCAGTTTCTATTGTAGTAGAGATTATCTTAAACTCCCTAGTGGCTTTGAAACATGCCACTTAATTAAGCAAGGAGGACTTACATTCCCCTTTCAGTTTCTATCTAGTTGAAAGGTTATAAGTCACTTTCTTTAGCATTTGCTGAGCAAACTTAAAGTAGGATGGAATATCATTTTATTCTAATAATAAAAACCGAATAAAATGTTTAGAAAATAGATTCCTGTTTCCAGAATATGGAGTCTCTTAGACATCAGTCTTCTTTTTCCCCCTTGTTCTTTTTTTTTCCAATGCAAAACATTTTAATAGGTTGTCAAATATACAGTTATTAGAATTATCTAAATATCACTTATAAAAATTGGTATATCATGTTAGATGACCCCTTGTTCTTTTATAACTCCTTTCTTGCTTCCTTTCAAAGTCTTTCACAATACAGTGATGAGAACATGATGGACCCTTATAACCTGGCCATTTGCTTTGGCCCAACATTGATGCCCGTCCCAGAAATACAGGATCAAGTGTCTTGCCAGGCTCATGTGAATGAAATTGTCAAAACCATTATCATCCACCATGAGACTATTTTCCCAGATGCTAAAGAGCTGGATGGCCCTGTTTATGAGAAATGTATGGCTGGAGACAACTACTGGTAAGTCCAAGAATTTTAGTTCTTCTCCCCCTGGAAAAATTATAGAAGTATAGATATCAACTTAATTAAGAAAAAGAATTGACCATAGACCATAAGCCACCAATGCTACCAATTTAAAAAAAAAAAGGCAGCAGAGACATGAGATAAATTAGAATGCTAAGACATATGACAATACTGGCTTCTTATGGAAACTCATGTTCACCCTTTTCTTTTCCCCAAGAATGACATCTTTTGAGATATATCAACCCTTTCACGGTTTTTGTAAAGAATAAAGGTATTGATATTACATAGAGCTATATTAATTTTTACTATTCCATCAGGAAAAGATAACTATTTGAATTGACGGATTTTATTTTCATTTGAAATAGTTTTAATTCTATATAAATTATTTCAAAATTATTATTTTAAAGGAGGCCTACCTATCAAGCAACTGTTTTCATGCTTACTCATTTAATTTTTATTCTTACTGATACTATCCTAACCAATTTATAGTAGCAATGATTATTTTGAGCAAAATTACTGCATTAATATATTGTTGGGATAACAATTTTTTAACACAACAGTATAGACACCTTCCAGTGAAGTATAAAAATGAAGGAGGTGTTTTGAGCTCTGAGCAACAGTGGTTCGAGTCCCGGCCCGAGCTGAGCAGCCACTGAGCTGCCAACAGGTGGCAGGATGGCTCAGCTAAAAAAAAAAAAAAAATGAAGGCGGTGTTGTCAATTAAATAATCCCAATAGTAGAAAACCTTAAAAGGTTTCTGTTCGCTATTTGTTATATAAATTTCAGCTTCTACAAAATCATATATGATAAAAGTAGCTTTGATTCCTTGAGCCCCCTACCACTTGCCAGATACTCGGGTGCATATGCTCCCTTTTACTCCTCACACCACTGTACCAAGTAAGTTAAGAGAGAACCAAGGAGCCTGTCCGTGACTGGTAGTAACTGGAGACAGCCCAGGTCTGTCTAATGCCAAGACCCACACGAGTCCTCCCACTCAACAGCTGCCTCCCAGCCTAGCTTGGAAACCGCCCTGTGCAGCTCAGATGCAGGAGCAGCTGGAAATAGACTTGTGTCAGCCCTTCATTCTGGACTCTTTGTTTCCCAGAGCCTTACCGGGAATTGAGTAGAAGTAGAATCAGTAGCTGAAAGATCTCAAATAACTAAAAGTACACTTACTTTTTACTCAAACCACAGTATGATCTTGAATCACAGTATGATCATATGCCTGAAAAAAACTGAGAGTTGACTCTTTCCCGAGGTACTGCTTTCTACATTAACAACAAAGCATGACAGATGTCAGGTCTATAATATATCCACCAATTTTACACATGAAATTCAATTCAAAAATATTTATTTGATCACTTACTATGTGCAAGGTACTGACTGAGCTTGGCTCTGAGAAGATGAATGAATAAAACTCAGCCCTGATGAGATACATAATTTTCTTTTCTTTTTTATTAAAGTTTATTGGGGTGACAACTGTTAGCAAAGTTACATAGATTTCAGGTGTACAATTCTGTAACACATCATCTATATATTGCATTATGTGTTCACCACCCAGAGTCAGTTCTCTTTCCATCACCATATATTTGATCCCCTTTACCCTCATCTACCACCCCACCTCACCCCCAGTAACCACTAACATAATTTTATTTTCATAGTCATATTTGTTTCAAGGCCAGTGTCATATGCATAGTCATGGTTAGTATTTCCAAATAGTCAGTGCGGAATCATTAAGTTCTTCTGTCTTGTTCATTTTCTCAAAGAGCAAGGATGCGGATGTCTGATTAGTATTACTTGATGTGTTGTACCCTAGGACTTTCTGTGGCTGCTACTTTGTACAGAGTAAAAGCCCCATAGTAAAGAGTCTTGCAGACAGTAACACGTGCTTGATTATACCCTTTCTCCCATACACTGTTTTCTGTGGGTGTTGTTCATTCTACACAGGAAGTCAATAATGCAGTAGTTATCCTTGCTGCCCAACACCAGCTATACAAATGGGCTTTTACAAAGACTTGGAAACAACCAAAATGCCCATCGGTAGATGACTGGATTAAGAAACTGTGGTACATTTATACAATGGAGTATTACTCCGCTATAAAGAAGAAGGAAATCGTGCCATTTGCAACGATATGGATGGACCTAGAGACTATTCTGTTAAGTGAAATAAGTCAGTTGGAGAAAGACAAATACCATATGATTTCACTTATATGTGGAATCTAAAAAACTGAATGAACGAGCAAAGTAAACAGAAGTGGTCTCAGATATAGAGGAACAACTGATGGTTGTTAGATGGGAGTGGGGTGGGCATGAGGGAGAAGGGGAAGGGATTAGACAGCATAAATAGGTAACTACAATATTGCCACAGGGATATGAAAGACAGTTTGAGGAATATAATTAATAATGTCGTAAATATTTTGTAGGGTTTCAGAGGGTCACATGTCTTGTTAGGGAGACCACTTCATGGATGGGATAGAGGCTTGATCACTGCACTGTACACCTGAAGCTGATGTTGTATAATATTGTATGTCAACTATAACTGAATATATATATATATGGTCATGGGACGTGGAGTATAGTGTGGGAGTGGAGTCAAGGGAATTGTAATAGATATGTATGATATTGGGGGGGAAGTGGGGCGGCGGATTGGGGGAGGGGTTTGTCACTTTGAGGGGTAAAAAGTGTAACTATTGCACTGTGTTGTGTGTACAGCTGAAACTAATTTTTAAAAATGTATATTTCACAATAAAAAAATTTTTGCTGTCAAAAGAAAAAAAACTTCAATGAACAAAAAATAATTGAGAATTAAATTTTCCTCCAGTTTTTCATTAAAAAAAAAATGGGCTTTTACAGTAAAGTCAGGTCCATATTTGTTTCCACTCTCATGCATTTGAGGAGAGGTAGTGGTTGTGTTAGAGGGTAAGTTTTTAAAAGGGATAAAATCATAACTCTCACACAAATATAAAATGAACATCTGTCAAGAAAAGATGGAAAACATACTACAATCAATTCACAGCAGAAGTCAGAGCCATCAATTTATGTGCAGTAAGGAATGTTGAAATGAATTTGCAAAAACTGGTGTTATCTGTGGGGCAATAATCATATTCCACTAGAACTCAGCAAATTTTTATTTCTATGGATAAGAATTATTTCTAATGCTACAAGGTTTCTACAAGTTCACTTTGTCTTTACAGAGTGATAAAATAACCTTGTGTCACAGACAAAGGGACATACACTTCCATAGGACCACATAATCCTTGAACGTTGCAGCATTCCATGGAAAGGCTATCCCGTCACTCTTGCCATTCCAAGTCTTACATTTTTCCTTACAGTAGCAATTGTTGATTTCTGAAATTTTTTTTTCCAACACTTATAAAAGTTTATTTGAGCCAAACTGACGACAATTGCGGGGAAGCAAAATCTCAACGGATTGAGAAAATGCTCCCTGAAATTCTTTGCACTTTGGCTTCATATGAATTTCTGTTTCTGCTCCACAGCGACAGCCCATACAGCGAGCACGGTACATTGGAGGAAGTGGATCAGGACGCGGGGACAGAGCCCCACACCAGTGAAGACGGTAGGCCCTGTGTTCACACTATTATAAAGCTAATCTTTATAGCCTTGATTTAGAATTGCTTATATTAGGAATTCAGTTGATACAAAAGACTATAAGGTATGTGGAAAGGGTGAAGTACAACATTACAGTGAACACGCATGGAACCACCACCAAATTTAAGAAAAAAACCATCCTTACCTTTGTGCTCCCCTTATCCCATTGCCTTCCGTAACCCCCCTTCATGGGTAACCACAATGTGTTTGTTTTTAAATGATTTATCATTTCATTTTTCTAGTTTATGGAACTTGCTATAAATGGAATTGTACCGTATATATTTTCCACCGTTTTTTTCTACTCAGCATTATGTTCCTGAGATTAATCCCCATTGTTGCATGCAGTTAGCATTTATTTTACCACTGTATAATATTCCACTGTATTCATCTGTTTGTTTTGTTGTTTTTTTTTAAAGATTTTTATTGGGGAATTAGGGGGATAGGAACAGTGCTGGGGAATTGGGGTAAGGGGAACAGACAAGTTGCTGTCGTTTTGTTCTTCAATCTAGTTGTGGAGGATGTCGCTTCACTGGCCCAAGTTGGCACCATCATCGCGCTCTTCTCTGGCGAGGCAGATCAGTCGCCGGCTTCTGGACGGCCGCTCACTGCGGCTGCTGGCCGCTCACGCTGGCTGCTGGCTACATACGGTAGCCCATGGCAACCCACTGCCACAGGTGCTGCAGCCCACGCCGTCGCCGGCGACTCCTGGCAGCCCAGCTCCAGGTTGAGCTGTTGTTCAGCATCTTAGCTGTGGAGGGCAGTGTCACTGGCCCTCATATGTGGGATCCGAACCGGGGCCCTCTGGCATCCCAAGCGAGTTCTTAACCATCGTGCCACTCGGCCAGCCCTTCATCTGTTTCTTAATTGATGAATATGTGAGGTGTTATCTACTTTTTGCTATTCAAAACAGTGCTGCTATGAATATTTTGAGCATGTATCCTGCAAATATACACACTTGATTTTATCAAACATTGTCATGTTTGCCGATATGACCAGTATGGTTTGGTATCTCATTGTGATTTCATTACATTTCTATAATTACTGATGAAGATGTTGTTTTAAAATATAGGGTTATTAATAGAAAATATGGGGGACAAGTAAGGCCAACAGATCAGGAGATGATCACCATTGAAAAGATATTTTGTTTCTCCCAGTTCTCTAGAGGAAGGGGGCACATCACGCCTTGAGGGCCACACAAGAAAGCACCAGGGTCTGTCATGAGGTAGAGGGAGAGGGAACAACCAGGCAAGAGTCTTTGGTGTGGTTTCCACAGGAACAGGCGAGGCAGGGTGAGCAGGGTTAGCAATGGCCCAGGCTCTGGGGCATAGGGGCCGTCTCTTGTTGTCTGGTACCCGGACCTGAGGTGATTGGTGCAGGTGGGTAGTGGCTCAGAGTATGAGAGCCAGAGAGGAGGGGGTTGGGGTGTGGGCTCTGGATTGGTTGGTTTGTATTTGAAAAGCACACTGTAGGTGAGTTGTTTACTATTATATCTGTAGGAACTGGCTAACCCTGAGAGGTATAGTCCCTCCAGGGTCAACAAGGCCTAGATGTCAGGATACAGAAAATAAAAAACAGGGTTCATACAGATATACTCATTTTTTTATATGTTTGGATTTCTTGTTTTGTGAAATTCCTATCAATTATTTTGCCCATTTAGGAACCATTTCCCCACTATTGGTTTCTCTGGGCTTTTTTTCCTCGATTTAGTTTGGTTTGGCTTTGGTTTTTTTCCTTATTTGTCAGAGTTCATTGTGGTTGTGGATCAGGTCTTTTATTGGGTGCATGTTTTACAAATATCTTCTGCTCTGTAGCTTGTCTCTCATGTGCTTATTATGTCTTTTGATAAACAGAGGACCTTAATTTTAAAGGAGTCGAATTGACCAGTCTTGACTTCCTGGTTGTTTTCACTTTGTGTCTCCTTTAAGAAGTCCTTCTGTGCCTTCAGGTAATGAAGAGAATTCTCCCTTGTCCTCTTTTAAATCTTCCTAGGTTTTGTTTTTCACACACAGATCTTTGTTCTACCAGGAATTTATTTGGAGGCATAGTGTGAAGTATGGCGTCTCCATATGGATGCACGATTCTTCCACTGTCCCAGTATTAATTGTCCTTTATCCGCTGCTCCCCACTTGTGTCATAAATTTCTATCCCGAGTCAGTTTCCGGGCTCTGTCCTTTTCACTGGTCTACTTGTCTACCCCTCTATCACTGTCTTAATTTCGATACCTTTTAAAAAACCTTAGTATTTGGCAAGCCAAGACCTCTGACTCAATCTTCTTAACAATTCTACTTTTTAATTGAAATTCTCCTTTTGCAATTTTACTTAATTTTTAGACTCGGTTTTTCAAGTTCTTAAAACAAACAAGAAGAAAACGCTAAACACCTGTTGGGATTTTGATACTCCATACATTAATATGGAGCAGATTGATATTTTTCTAATATTCAGTCTTCTAATCCACATATTTCCAGTTACTTCATAACTCCCAGTAAAGTTTTATACTTTTCTCTGTAGAGACCATTTTTTTCTTTTTCTAACTTCTTAAGCTTGATGCTTAATTACTTTTCAACACTTTTTAAATATGAATATAAAGCTGTCAGTTTCTCTTAGTGCCTCTTTAGCTCTGTGCATGACCCTTTTATTCTCTCTTCAGCTGTGACCAATCTGCTTTAAATTCAGCTGTTGAGTTTTTATTTTTAATTTTTTTCCCCCACAAATTCTGTTGGGTTCACTTTTGTATCTGTTGCTTGGCCCTATTTTTATAGTTGTTTGCTTTTTACTCATACTATTAATCCTTTCCATTGTTTCAGATTACATGTCTGGTCATTCTAATAAATGCAGTCTTCCTGGATTTTTTTTTTTTTTTGGCTCTTGCTCATTGAGTCTTATTTTCTGGTGTGTTTTGTAATTTTTTTACATATTTATTGGAACTTGGTAGAATTCCTTTAGGCTTTGTTGAAGGTGAGTTCCTCCAGAGAGGGTTTGCTTTACTTCTGTCTGGAGCACAACCAGCTTGGGACCACATTGAATTTTTACCTTGAGTTTTCCCAGGCCACCCTGGTAGCATGAGCTGAAACTGCAAACCTGCCTGAGGACTGAAATGTAGTTGGGATTCTCAGGCGCGATTTGTTCCAGGGTTTGAGACAAATTATTTCTTTAAGGCCTGGGGTCTGGGTGGGAGGTGGCACGGGTGGTTACAGTCTATGAAGAAAAAGGAAGATTTCTAGTTCACTGTGACACTGAAAGTATGTTGGAGAGGGCAGGGGCTTGGATTCTCTACACTGAGACAGCCCCTAGACTTAATCTTTTGTGTAAAATAAAAGCTTAAGTTAGCCAGGCAGGGAAAATGCCCTGAAGGCAAACTCTGACTCACATTTTCTAGTGTTCTATTTACCTCACTGGGTTCCCACTTTCATTCAGTTTTTAGTCTTTAGTATGATAGCTTATTAATGCCATTACAAAGATTTTTTTTTTTAATCCAGCATTTTTAGTTGATTTCAGTGGAGGCTAATCAGGGTGTCTAGTGTGTTTCTTTGTGTTTTTAAAAGTAAAATGAATTGACATTTTCAGAACTTAAGTTAGAAGATACTATTTGAAGTGATGTTGCTTTTGAAAATCTCGGAGCCCTACCTACCTCTGCCACCATTCATTTTTAAGTGTCTTTGTTTCTCAATATGATTCACTCCTTTTTCGCTGATGACTTCTCTAAGTGTTTCCTTGCTTTCCTCCGTGGCAGGAAAAGCCAAGACAAAGCCCCAGCCATCTCTTTCCCAGACGTCATTCTCACTGCTGTGCCATCTGTCAGGTGCTCTGACCTCTCAAGTATAACAGAAAAGCTTGGCTGAGGGCTGTGTGTGTTAGATAACGTTTTGAGCAAGTTCTCCTGATTTCATTGGGAAGAAAAGCATTGCTTACAAAAGACAGAGCCCCTTGCCCACACAGCCAGCCCCTACAGTCCTAAATTAACTAGAGTATTGATTATCTTTTTGATTGCCCAGGTGTCTATTTTCTTTTCTCTGTCGTGGTATCACGAGACAGAATAGCTTCTGTTTCCTAAAGAGAGGCTGTTGCAGAACAAAACCATCCACTGCAAGGGCAGTGGGTAACATATCTAGGAGAGTAAATGTCATAGACAGCAAGGTCCCAAAGAGAAAGTGTGATGTACTAGCATGTTGTATAAAATTAAAAGACATGGAAATATACAAGACTCGATAACACCAGGCAGTCAGAAAGTCAGCTCTACTGGATTTTCTTTCCCTTTGCACAACAATATCATAGCCGTGCAGAAAAACGAAGCTATCGTGTTGTACTCGTATTATTGTTATTGATAGAGCAGCATTCTACAGAGGCTCTGCCTGACCTTAAAGGACCGTGTGACTCTCTATGAAAGAGGTATGGTGCCTCGCCATGCCCTGAGATTGATTTGCTCTGCAGTTACTTGACTAAGATGTGTATAAATAGCTTATTGATTGACACTTGACTGTGAAATGACTCTCGTGGGAGCAGAAAGAGTCAAAATAATGAAATTGCTCAGAATGACTAGTTGATGTAGTAGGGTTACCCATAAGCTGTACTTCTGATTCTTCTGGTCATTCTTTCATAGCCTCTCCACATTTGGATTAAATAAGCAGAGACCAATAATCCTGTAGATAGTTGTTTCAAGGAATAAGAAGAAGAGATAATGAACATAGAGGTCATGATTATGAAATTGTGATAAAATATGTATGTATCTATTAAATGGTCTTAAATAGCCCTTGGCCAACATTGACAGTGTGTGACTGAATGGCTTGAAAGAACATTTATGGTTCTGTCTTTATTTCCCTTTGACAAGTACATGGATTGTACGCTATATTATGGGCTGATATCTTTCCATTTTTTTTCAACCAAACAAAATTTTGACATGTGAGTATGTTCGCGTTAAATTTTCAAATTACATGTCATGAAGTTCTTTTTACGAAATTGGCATGTCTTCACTATACCATGGACATGTTTATTTCTGTCCCCAGGGACAACTGGGAAAAAAATATTTGGTATCTGTCATCTCAAGTCAACCAGGATTTATTCTTTATCTGCAAGTTTAGAACAAACTAAAAAGTCAGTCTCTTTGACTATAAAGTTATATTCCTCCTTTATGAAGCAGACTTGTAGATATTTAATAAAGCTGCTATTTGTATTGTTTTAATAAAGAAAATTAATTTTAGGAGGGAGTACCAGAGTGTTAACATATGACCTAAAAGTTACAGTCCGTTGTAAAACGGTTGTTTTAAGATCTTTACACCTACTTTGCTGAGTATACTAGATGCAGATTGCAGTGGCTAGTTCTGCAATGTGAAATATTATCCACCTTAAACATTATCCACTAGCAAAAAGATGGGACAATTTTTTATTTTATTTTAAATGTATAGCTGAAATTCACCCAAGACCCTTCAGATAAGGCACACCCTAAGCTTTTTCAATATGCCGGTTGATTTTTATGCTTTGGCCTTACGTATCCCAGAGGATGTTTGAATTTGTAAGTGAGACAGAACCTTAGCTGGCTATCGTGGGACTCCTTATGCAGTTATTCCATATAAGTACAACAGTTACTGAAGATATGACAATAAACTTGGGGAAAAAACACGCACTTTTAAATGGGAAGGCTTGTTACCAAGGGAAACATGACTATTTTTTCTTGAGAAAATATTTGACTGATAGGCAGGTTTTAATCTATTAAGTGTGCATATATATTCTAGCGTATTTGGAAACTAATAACTTGCTCAGTTTGGGGCAAATGAGGTATTGCTCATTGCATAGACATCGCTCTCTGTGCATATACCCCTTGTATTGGCCATTTTTAGTTTCATTTATTATTGATTATAAGTTTATTCACCTGTGGTTGGATAGCAGGGATGAAGATGGGGCAATGGTGAGAGAGGGGAAGAAGGCTCATAAGGCCCCAAATTGAAGGGCATTTTGCAATAAGCTGAATCACAAAAAGCACCTCTTGTACTAGTTTTGTTTAATTTGTCCTCTTATTTGCCGTCAATATTTGTGGTTAGAATTAGATCAGAGCTGAAATTCTAGTTTTAGGCCCAGAGTTCAACCTCTTTTTTAACTTTTTATTTTGAGATTATTACAGATTCACATTCCATTGTAAGAAATAAAACAGGGAGGTCCCATGTATCTTTCTCCCAATGGGAATAATGTTTTACATAACTGTAGTATAATATCACAACCGGGAAATTGACATTGATACAATCCACCCACCATATTCACATTTCACGAGTCTTACATGCACTCGTGTGTGTGTGTGTGTGTGTGTGTGTGTTTACGTTGTTCTATACAGTTTTTATCACATGCGTAGATTTGTGTGACCACAACCAAAGTCAAGATAACAATTTGATCACAAGGGTGCCTTGTGCTGTCCATGTACAGGCATAGGCATTTCCTTCCATCGCCTCCCCGAAAACCAGCCTCTGGCAGCCATTACTCTATTTACCATCTCGATTATTGTGTCATTTCGAGCATGCTGTAGAAATGGAATCATACAGTATGTAACTGTTAGAAACTGGCTTTTTTCACTCACCATAATTCCCTGGAATATTTTTTGATCTCTAGAAAATATAATTTCTGAATCCAGTCTTTTAATTTGGGTACAGCACAGTCTTAAGTTACGCTTGTTTCATAGGTAATATCCAGAATTTGTTACTGATATTAGAGAAAACAAAGTTTGCAGTTTGTATGTCATGAAGTTCTTTTTACTAAATTGGCATGTCTTCATCCTTCCTTGGATATGTTTATTTGTGTCCCCAGGGACAACTGGGATTAAAAAAATTTGATATCTGTCTTTACTGTTTGTTGGTGATAGTTTAAAGACTTGATAGAGCTAAAAAAGTAGATGAGGAAATTAAATGTATTCAAATAGTATGTAATGTGGCCATTTTTTTAAACTTGATTTTTTTTTTTAAATAAGCAAATAAAACATAAACTTCCTAGTGTTCTGGGATAGTGATTTTCCCATGTTACAGATAGTATTAACATATTTCAAGGGAGCTCCGTCAATGTCACAGCAACACTGGAGCAATTGTGGAGGATATTACAACCCAAGGAGAGATCTCATATATCATATTGCAAAGTTTAAATTACTTTTTATTAGACTGTCATTATAGCTCTAGTTAAGAGGCTATGGAAATTAAGATATAATGTTCAGTTTTTCTTTGCCTGAAAAACTGATGACAGCCAAAGAATGTTTTTCTGTATCTCTTCTAACAGCCTTATTGTCTCCTGCACTGATGATTTGTGTATTCCCTTGTTCTGTCAGCATGTTCAGATGGCCTTGTTTATCGCTAAGGCCTCATCGAGACCTTTCAGATAGTCTCTCATGCCTTCCTAACCACCCTGTCCCTCACCGCTTTCTGGTGTGTTCTTTGTAGAATGTGAGCCAATAGAAGCCATAGCCAAGTTTGACTATGTTGGGCGATCTGCCAGAGAACTGTCCTTCAAGAAGGGAGCCTCCCTGCTGCTGTATCACCGCGCGTCTGAGGACTGGTGGGAAGGAAGACACAACGGCATTGATGGGCTTGTACCTCACCAGTACATAGTGGTGCAAGATATGTGAGTAATCCCAGCCGCCATCGCCAGAGTGCTCTCAAGAGGAAACTCCAGCCATTTTTCTTAAGCTGACCACCTTGCTAGTGGGTCTTTGCTAACAGAACTTCAGGGCCAACAGGCTTCCATTTCCCAAACTCCACCAGGAGGTTGGCAGCAAGGGCTAATGAGATAGGCCTTTAGAAGCTTTCAGATTTGTAGGACCTGTGCAGAGAAGAGCTTTAAGAGCTGAAGGGACACTGCTAATTCCAAAAACAGCGGTTCTCTTGTTTTGGCGTCTGTCTCCTGTTTCAATTCCAGGTTCCCAAAAAGAAGATACTGAACTAAAAAAGTATCATCCCAGGCTTCTTTTTTGTTTTTTGTTTTGTTTTGTTTTAATTTTGCTGATGAGAAAGCTCTAATTTCATAGATATTTAAAGAGATGGGAAGATGGTCATCATATATTAAATGAAAGGAACAGATTACAAAATGATATATAAAGAATAATCCCTATTTTGTGACTACAATATTTCACAGTGCATCACCCATGTAAGAGCTGTTTTTCAAGGAAAAGAGAAATATATCATATAAAATGTATACAGTGATTAAATGACTCAACCTAATTTTGGAAATGTTAAAATATATATCTCAGAATCCAAGAAATATTATATGTGTACATACAGACATGCAGTCATATGTATCTAAAGTACATAAACATAAGTATCTAAAATATAATACTATACTTATACACATAACTGTAGATATGTATTTCAGGCATAGAAGTGTAGAAGGATAAATATTTTTAAATTTCTAACAGTAGTTGTCTCTAGATGGTATGTCATATTATGAGTGATTATTCTTTCGTTTTTCTCTGTATATCTGAATTTTCTAATTTATCTGCAATGAAATTATATTATTTTTATAGTGAAAAGAAAAAAATTTGAATAAGAGACCTTCATACATAAATGCTGTCACTTATTTCTTTGTTGCCATTCCTCTAGCAAAAGACCCTCACTCTTTTTTTTCATAAAGATTTTATTGGGGAATTGGGGGAGGGGAACAGTGTTGAGAAATTGGGGAAGAGGACCAGCCAAGTTGTTGTTCTTCAGTCTTCGTTGTGGAGGGCACCAGTCACCATCTGACTTCCCGTCAGCAGCTCTTGGCCTCTAAGCTCAAGGTGCTGAGTTCAGTCTTAGTTGCATAGTGGGCATAGCCATGCAGGAGTCAAACCTGCAGCCTTTTTAAGAGCATACTATCCACTGAGCCATCCGGGTGGTAGCTCAGCTCAAGGTGCCAAGTTCAGTCTTAGTTATGGGTGGGCGTAGCCCACCATCGAACAGGCAATCTTGTTGCTACACCAGCTGAGCCATCCGTCCACCTGTTGACAGCTAAGTGACAGCTCAGCTCGGGTGCAACATCGGCCCATGTGGGAATCAAACCGGCAGCCCTGTTGCTCAGAGCTTATGCTCTTAAGCCAAGTCTTAACCAGCTGAGCCAATCAGCTGGCCCCAACAGACCCTCACTCTTGATTCCCATTGTTTCAGGGACGATACATTTTCTGACACTCTGAGCCAAAAAGCAGACAGCGAGGCCAGCAGCGGGCCAGTCACTGAAGACAAGTCTTCATCCAAGGATATGAACTCCCCAACAGACCGTCACTCTGATGGCTATTCATCCAGGTAGGTGGAGTCGGGTAATCAGGTTCCTGACCCTTCACGTCTCCAGGGGCTGCGAGGAGCCATAAGACCTGCAGCCTTGCAGCATTACCCAGTATCCTATTCTCACCCTCTCCCTCTCCCCCTCCCCCTCTCCCCCTCCCCCT